GTGTTGATATAAGATGCATCATGGCAATACGTAAATATCCTTTTATGGGAATATATTTAACTTTAATTATTTGTGCTTTATTGCAAAGCAGAGTACGAAGCGAAAGCCTATCATATTCTCATTACATTTGCCTATAAACATAAGCCTAGTCATACTTCTCAATATCAATTTTATTTTACAAAGAACAGTTTACACTGTCATATGAACATTGTACATGTTTCAGTGTTAGGTAAAAGCACTTATTAACTTATTATCTGTTTTGAGAAACAGATAAGTTTAGAGAACCACTGTTTTTCTCTCTGTTAAAATACAGATATGAATCTCATAAAACTAAAAGTGTTAGCATTAAATATTCTATCATTTAATATTTATAGAAGGTGTACCTTCAAAATATTTTTGTTTCTCTGTTTTAACTTTATTTATTAAATGTTAGATATCTGACTTATTTATTGGATTTCCTTCAGAGAACTCAACTTGGCTTTGAACAGAACTTTCACCCTTTTAATAACCCATAGACTTTTATTTTATAATTTCATGTAGTAAAATTAATCCATAGTTTTAGCAGATGTGTCATACCCATGTCATAAGCACTCCATGCAAGATATAGAACACTTTTATCATCTCAGAAGGTGTCCCAGTGCCCCTTTATAGGGGCTTCCCCATCTTCCAGCTCGACAACTGCAGACCTTGTGCTTATCGCTGTGTATTCATTTTGCCTATTCAAAAGACAAATATGAACGGGAACACACAGTGCATTCTTTTATGTCTGGCTTCTTACATAAAGCATAATGCTTCTGAAATTTGTTCATGTCATCCTGTTTATAAGTAGTTCTTCTCATTGCTGAATAGCCTTCTATTGTAATGGATGTATCATAATTTGATATCCATTCACTTGTTTTTGGATAGTTGGATTGTTTCTGGTTTTTAGCTATTATGAAAAAAGCTGCTGTGAAATTGAAGTATAAGTTTTTTGTGGACTTAGGTTATCAGTTCTCTTGGGTAAATTCTAAGGGTAGAATTTCTAGGCCTTATAGTAATGCTGTGTTTAATTTTATGAGAAATTGCCAGCTATTTTTCCTAAGTGGTTATATCATTTTATGTTCCCATCTGCAATGAAAGAGAATTCTACTTTCTCCACATTTTTGTTTATCCTTGGTATTGCCAATCTTTTCATTTAGCCACCAATAGTTGTGCCTCATTATTATTTTAATTTACATGTCTCTGATGACTTGTAGGACTTAGTACTTTTTTACATGCTTATGGACAATTCATATATTTCTTTTATGAAGTGTCCATTGAAATCATCTTGTTCATTTTTGTTTACTACTGTCATATATATTCCACATACAATTATGTCTTTTGTCAGATAAATGTATGGCACATATCATCTCCCACTGTGTGCAGCTGGCCCTTTCTCTTTTTCTTAATGGTATTGTTTGAAGAGCAATAGCCTAATATGTCCTTTTTTCCCTTCATGGCTAGTGTTTCTTTTTTTTTTTTTTTATGTTGCTTAAGAAATCTATGTCTACTAAAGTTGTGAGGATTTTCTGTGCATTTTTCTGCAAGTTTTTTGGTGTGAGGCTTTTACATTTATGTTTATGATCCACTTTGAGTTAATTTTCCTATGTAATGTGAGTTGTGTATTCAAGGTTGTTTGTTTGCTTAGCAAATGATATTTAATCATTCAAACACTATGTATTTTACTAAGGCAATTTTATAGGCAATTGATCATATCTGTAGGGACAGTTTTATTTTTTCCTTTTCATTATCTGTTTGTCTGTCTCTCTTTGCCTTTTGCCATAACTGGGACCTTTTGTAACACTGAATAGAAAGAGTGAGATTGGACCTACTGGCCTTGCTCTTTATCTTGACAGGAAAGCACTTAGTCCTTTACTACCCAAGTATGATGTTAAGTTTGAGTTTTTCATAGATGCCCTTCTTCTGTTGCTACTTTCCTGTCTTCTCTTTGGTTTACAGAATATTTTTAGTATTCCATTTTATGTCCTTATATGGCTTTTTAATGATATCTCTTTTTGTGTTTTCTCAAGGCCTAGCAACATGAATTCTGAATTAAGTTCTTAAAGCTATCTGAATGTGGTGTGGTCAGTGAGTCTGTGGTCAGTCTGTAAGTTCATCAGCTCAAGGAGACTGTTTCACAGCCTGTATTTAATGTTCATTTGGTCCATGAACTTTTATCTTAGTCATACTGCTTACTGGATCTGGAATACTTAATGTACCACCTCTTCACACACAGCCCTGCTCCTGTTTTCCCCTTCTTTATCTCTACCTTTTCCCTCCTCCTTCCCTTCTTACCTTCTCCTTCCCCTTTTCCCTCCCTCCCTTTCTTTGGACCTTCCTTCCTTTTCTTCCTTTCATTATTCTTTGGCCCTTGAAGAGACATCTTGGCAGACTATAGAAAAGTATGTAACATTCATCCCTGAAGTAAATTAAGTCTTGATTACTTGCTGTTTAAAATCAAATAACCAACTATGTGGTATGTATGTTAGTCGCTCAGTTGTGTCCAACTCTTCATGACCCCATGGACTGTAGCCTGCCAGGCTTCTCTGTCCATGGAATTCTCCAGGCAAGAATACTGGAGTGGGTTGCCATTCCCTTCTCCAGGGGATCTTCCCAACCCAGGGATCAAACCCTGGTCTCCTGCATTGAGGCAGGTTCTTTACCATTTGAGCTACAGGGAAGTCCATGGTACTATGTGGTAAATGAACTATGTGGTAAATGCCTGTTATTCTGAGGGCTGTACGTGATAGGAGAACCCGTAATGTTTTCTGTGCATCTCTGTGCCAGTGATTCCTTTTTTCTTTTCTGAGTATGGTTATACAGCAGCAACTTGGGAAAATAGCACACCTAACTACCCTCATTTTCTTTTTTTATTCATCATAAACTGTATTAGTTTATTATCCTCCAAAACCTGCCCATCAGGGACTTGTGTCTACTCTGGGATCCTAGATTTATGTTATTACCAGATACAGTTGAAAATACATTGAAACCAGATTTTCTTTCGGAAATACCTCAGACTTGGAGGGCATAGGAGATTAAGTGGGTTGGTCAGTGACTAGAGAGCATGAAGAGATGAATAGATCAAATTGAAAATGGTAAAGTAGAAAAGTTAGTAGTTATTTAGGAAATAAAATTACCCTATCTAAAAGGTTTATATGGATGATCTCATTTATTCCTCGTATTTATGCTCTGACTTGCTTACACGTCTCTGCTCCACTTTAGAGTGTAGTCACGATCACTCTCGTTTACTGAGCACATACTATGTTCAGCTCAGCTCAGTTCAGTTGTCGCTCAGTCGTGTCTGACTCTTTGCGACTCCATGGACTGCCGCACGCCAGGCCTCCCTGTCCATCACCAACTCCCAGAGTCTACTCAGACACATGTGCATTGAGCCAGTGATGCCATCCAACCGTCTCATCCTCTGTCATCCCCTTCTCCTCCTGCCCTCAATCTTTCCCAGCATCAGGGTCTTTCCAAATGAGTCAGTTCTTCGCATCAGGTGGCCAAAGTATTGGAGTTTCAGCTTCAACATCAGTCCTTCCAATGAACACTCAGGACTGATCTCCTTTAGGATGGACTGGTTGGATCTCCTTGCAGTCCAAGGGACTCTCAAGAGTTTTCTCCGACACCACAGTTCAAAAGCATCAATTCTTCAGTGCTCAGCTTTCTTTAGAGTCCAACTCTCACATCCATACATGACCACTGGAAAAACCATAGCCTTGACTAGATGGACCTTTGTTGGCAAAGTAACATCTCTGCTTTTTAATATGCTGTCTAGGTTGATCATAACTTTCCTTCCAAGAAGCAACCATCTTTTAATTTCATGGCTGTAGTCACCGTCTGCAGTGATTTTGGAGCCCCCCCAAAATAAAGTCTCTCACTGTTTCCCCATCTATTTGCCATGAAGTGATGGGACCAGATGCCATGATCTTCATTTTCTGAATGTTGAGCTTTAAGCCAACTTTTTCACTCTCTTCTAACTTTCATCAAGAGGCTCTTTAGTTCTTCACTTTCTGCCATAAGGGTGGTATCATCTGCATATCTGAGGTTATTGATATTTCTCCCAGCAATCTTGATTCAAGCTGTACTTCATTCAGTTCAGCATTTCTCATGGTGTACTCTGCATATAAGTTAAATAAGCAGGGAGAAAATATACAGCCTTGACATACTCCTTTTCCTATTTGGAACTAGTCTGTTGTTCCATGTCCAGTTCTAGCTGTTGCTTCTTGACCTGCATACAGATTTCTCAGCAGGTATGTCGGGTGGTCTGGTATTCCTATCTCTTTAAGAATTTTCCACAGTTTATTGTGATCCACACAGTCAGAGGCTTTGGCATAGTCAATAAAGCATGAACAATATCATGTTCAAGTCCTTTAATTGTATTATCTCTGACCCTTGGGTGTATACTCAAAAATAGTTACAAATCCATTTTCAAGATAAGGCTCAGAATGGTGAAGCAACTTGCCTAAGTTTGTACAGCTTGCTGGTATCTGAACTGGGCATTGATTCAAGGTCATTCCCATACCTGGGTCTCATCTCCTATTCATCCCCATGTGGCTGAGTACCAGCTTTGTCATTTCTCATAAATGCATGCTTTGACAAAAACCATTTTGAAAGAAAGTTTGAGAGAACTGAATTATCACTAAGTCTTCCACTGTGATTTCTGTAGGTAAGCCTTGTTTTTAATGTTTATGATAATTTGCACAGATTAGAAAAAATTAAAGTACTTCCAAGAACCAAAAAGTTGTGATTATATGTAACTACTTCCACCATATAGCTTAGGTTTACTATTAGTAATTGATATTGCCTTTGAGATTTTGAAAACTTTGTTTTGAAAGGAAGTCATTCTTTGAACATCCCAGAATGGCATATTGAAAATCAAATATATTAGCATAAATTAATGAAGTGTATAAAACTATATGTCTTATAAATGTATTATCTTGTAAATTATTTTTCCTCTTGGGATCTGCTTCTTTTTACAGCATGCTTGAATGACTATACAGAAGAATCTGGGACTTTCACTTCTCCAAACTTCCCCCATATTTACCCCAACAACTTGGAATGCATTTATAGGATCACAGTGGAAAGCGGCCAACAGATTGCATTACACTTCACAAACTTCTCCTTGGAGGAGGCCATTGGTAGCACATGTGTAGCAGATTATGTGGAAATCAGGTAAGCACTTTTATTTCATCATAATCTTGTTTTCTCTTATTTATTTTCACTTTTAATTTTTCTTGGAAAGGATAAGAAAAAAATATAGAAAATTTTCTGTGAAGTTCCTTTCTGTGCTCTTTCTTACAAGATATAAAATTTGTCATTTGGAACCTGACTTAGCAGTAGGAAAAGAGAAAGGCTTGTGAATTTCAGTGCAAGGCTTTTTTCTTTAATTCTTTAGTGCTTTGAAAGAATGGGTTTTTAAGTTATATTTGCAGTAAAGGTGAGTTAATGTATATATTAATATCTCCCCAGATCGTTATAGTTGTTTTACTTGCCAAGTCATGTTCGACTCTTTTGCGACCCCATGGGCTATAGCCTACCAAGCTTCTGTGTCCATGGGATTTCCAGATCGTTGCATTGAGTTAAATTAGACTAATAATTTGTTGCACATCTGTGTTAAAGTTTTTATCTGGCATTTCAAAAAGCTAGAATCTTATACTATTTTATAATAAATTTAGTTCTCTGATGTAAAGTAAGCTACTTAAACAATAAATCACAATTCTGTGATTCTGGGAAAGATTGACGGCAGGAGGAAAAGGGGATGACAGAGGATGAGATGTTTGAATGGCATCCCCAACTCAGTGCACATGAGTTTGAGCAGACACAGTGAAGGACAGGGAAGCCCGGCATGCTGCAGTTCACGGGGCTGCAAAGAGTCAGATGTGACTTAGCGATTGACCACCACCACCATATAATGCTAAAATAAGATGATTTTCTTAATTATCAGCAATCATTGGTGAATGAATGTTTTTTTAGGCTTGGAAAATACAGATTATAAACTATAGATAGTAAACTAGATTTAAGACCCCAAAAGTTCTTAAGCAAGGAAGTATTTTTAAAACTATGCATAACTATGTCAAATATATTACATTTTGAAAACTTTCAAATTAGAAAAACATTCAAGTTTCTCTGTAAAATTAAGCCACATTTATTTATATTGTTAATAATTTTTATTTCCTTATCTTTTGTTCTATGACACATTTCCCAGATGCTTTATTTGAAAGGGAGAAGATTAAGTACTTTTTCTCCATATGTAATTGGTTATATAAAATGTCATGTCAACAGTAAATGATGGTGATTCTATATTGCTACTCACATGCTATTTAGTAAAGTGAAAAACTGAAAACTTGCAATTGGTATTAGAATATTTTTGAGAGAGGTTGACTAACAAATGGATCTGTTTTTTATCTCAAAGTTAATTAGTGTTAAATGTTTATGTTATAACCTAATAACCTAATAAATGATCACACCTATATTTTGTCACAGGAATGGAGGCTATGAAAGTTCACCACTCCTGGGGCAATACTGTGGCTCAAATTCACCTCCAAGAATCATCTCCCATAGTAACAAGTTATGGTTAAAATTTAAGAGTGACTTCTTTGGCTCTGGGCTTGGATTCTCGGCTTACTGGGATGGGTCCTTAACAGGTAAATGGTCGAGACGTGTCCTTTACTGGAGAGTCCAGTCTGATTGGATTTTTCATTCTTGGATTACTGTGCTCTCACCTGGTTTTTTTTTTTTCTAGCTGTATTTTGTCAGTACTATTTGTCATAAACTTCAACATTGTGAATATTTCTGAATTAACCTTAGCTGTTTTGTTTTTGTTTTTGTTTTCGAAGGACATAGTAAGGGAAAATGTCATGTTCCCTGGTGTAGCTCATCAAGCTGGTCATCTTGGTTGGGAAAAGGAAAGTACATTGATGTGAACTGAAATTTTAGGCCAACTAGTCTTTGGTGGTGCAGGGTTGTTTTGCAGCTTGGTTTTTAAGGGGAGTGACAGTAGCACCAGTTTGATCCAGACAAGAGAGTTCAGTTTTACAGAAGGAAAAGACTGTGTGTTATCCCATCTTTCTCCCGCAGGCTGTGGGGGCAACCTCACCACGTCCACCGGCACGTTCACGTCCCCCAACTACCCGATGCCCTACTACCACAGCTCCGAGTGCTCCTGGCGGCTGAAGGCCAGCCACGGCAGCCCGTTCCTGCTGGAGTTTGAAGACTTCCATTTGGAGTATCATCCAAACTGTAGTCAAGACTATCTGGCTGTATGTATGAAGTTTCACTTGTAGCTTTCACTGCTCCCGTCTTGTCTGGTACACATCAATGCATCATTTTTTTATTTCTGAGATTCAGGAAAAGGGAATATTTAAACAATATCCACATTAAAAATTTAAACAAAATAAAATATTAAAAGAAAATTTGATGAAAATACCTTTCTAAGTACAGCATATGTTAATGAATGACTTAGTACACTAAGTCTTTAAAATATATTGAATATAGACTGTAAAGATATGGTTAAAAATCTCCTGAAAGGGGTTATGAGATTTATCATAGTTATTATCTACATGATTTCTATATATGTATTGAAGACTAACAATCTAGAGGACTGTATCAGAGGTTGAATTAAAGAAAACTGAAGTCAATAAAGTAGGGCTATTTACAGTACCAGTAAGTCACTGTCTCCATTAAATAACCATCTAAATAAAAATGTGTTAAAGTGTCATAAATGATAAACTATGAAATAAAAAAGCAAGGAAGACTACTGATAATAGCTATGGTCTCAAAAACATGTAATAATCCTTTATTTTCAATCAGGCTAGGTTCTCTCCCTTACTCCTATACATAGCCACAGCTTGAGTACATAGCTCAAGTTTATAGACATTTAAATACAATTTTACAAGATATTTTGATTCAGGGCTCTTCTTTTGTTATATCATTTTGTATTTCTTCCTCACTTCTCAAGAATTGTGGAGTCATTTAGATAATTACAGCCATAATCATCCGACATTTAAAATATTTTCTTGGAACTTCCTTGGTGGTGTAGTGATTAAGACTCTGCACTTCCATTGCAGGGGGCACAAGTTTAATCCCTGGTCAGGGAGCTAAGATCTTGCATGCCTTGTGGCATGACCAAAAAACAAATGAACAAACAAACAATAAAATGTTTTCTTAAAGGTATATGATGGGTCAAGTACCAGCTCTCATCTGCTAACTCAGCTTTGTGGAAATGAGATACCACCTGTCATCCGTTCCAGTGGAGACAGCATGTCTTTAAAACTGAGAACAGATGAAGGCCAGCAAGGAGGTGGCTTCCTGGTTAAATACCAGCAGAGTAAGTGTGTATACTGGTTGCTTGGTGACTGTAGTGGGTCTTCAGTCTCTCTCTTTTTTTTTTCCATGGTAAAGACTGCTTTATTGGTGGCAGCTAGTACAAGTCAATAAATATTGATCCCCAAAGAACTCAGTTATGTATCAGAGAGACGAATGGAATTAAATCAACTGATGGCCGGGAGGATAAACTGAAGTCAATCCTGCTTCTTGGGAGATGAAGCCACAGCCAGTTCATACATGGCATATGCCGTCCCACCAACTGTAAGAATCATGGTTGCTCTATACAGGATGGCATCAGCTATCCCACCCTTTAGATGCACTGGAATTCCATTATCCTCCTGAAACAGCTTTTGTTTCTCTGGAACCTTATTTTCAAACTGCCTGCATTAAGCAGTACTTATGGTCCTCTTAGCAATCTGATGGAGAGCCAGAAGATTTAGCAGCATCTTGGCTCAGTTACTGCCCACCAACCGCGGCAACTGACCACCAGCAACGAGAACTCCACATGCTGGAACCAGAACTACCTTCTCTTCAGTCTCTTGAATGAAGCAAATTGAAAGAAGTGTAACCCATTAGTGTGAGCAAATGAATAAATCTTAGCTCCTTATGAAAAAATTTAACTCTGTTTGATGGAGAAATGCTTACACATTGGGTATAATGTCATGTAACTAACACATGTGGTAAGTTCAGAAACCTGGAAGAAGAATTTGCTGAGACAGTCACAATTTATAGTCACAGTTTAAAGACTGGTGTAACTGGTTAGCAGTTAATGGGTTTTCATTTGAATTAAACATGGCAGTCTTCTAACTGGGACATTATTCCATTATACATAGTTATCCAACTCTTTTGTTTTTGTCATCTGTCTCAAAAGGTAGTTAAATTTTATTGAGGGAAACTGTAGACCTCAATGACTTACAAATGGTGTCCCAGTCACCTGTCAAGAAGCAATGTAGGAGAAATGCATCTACAAACCACATTTTTTAGAGACAATTTTTTAATATATTTATTTTCCCATTCTCTTTTATTACACATCATACAGTATGAAAAAGACTGGAGAAAAGGCATGCCTAGGCCTCATTCAAGTCATTAAGTTTGGTGGAATTTGGCAGTGGCTCCCAAGATTAGCCATACGTAGAAGTGCCTAGTATGGTTGTGTTGAAAACTCAGCTAAAGAAAATGCCACAATTGGATTGAAGACTTTTTCTCCAAAATTTAATGTTTTCGTTTCTTCTTCAAATCTTTTACATTGCTTCTATTCAATTGAATCTTCCTGATGAGTAACTAGAGGAATAAAAGAGTCTTTATTATGAATTTCATGCTGACTTTTGAATGTTGAACAAAGCCATGTTGTTAATCATTTTTAGCACTCACATAGGACTTTGTGTTTCTAAACTGTTGAATTTAAAGGTCAAGATTTCTGTCTCTTCCAAATGCTAAAGTTGGAAAAACAGAAGCATAAAATGTTTAATACACTTTTCTAAACAAACAAATTAGACTGATGTGTGAGTCAGGCTATGCTATTCTGCTCTGCACCAATTCATAGGAACATGATGCCAATTTTAACACAGGCAATTTTCATGACACTTTAAAGTTTAAGAATTCATTTAAATATTATTTCACATTTGTTCTAAATGGAGACCATTTCCATATAAAAATGCTGCACCAACTACCTGTGTATGTATGCATTTATGTGTATTTATGTGTATGCGTGTGTGTGTGTTTGTGTACACACATATATATGTTTCTTTTTAACATAGATGTTTTCCTATAGAAAAATCACACACATCTTGGGGCAATTATGATACGTATGATAGTGGTTAACAGTCATTGTTATTTTTCCCAGCATGTGATAACGTGGTGATTGTGAATCAAACCTATGGCATCTTAGAGAGTATACATTATCCAAATCCCTATCCTGTCAACCAGCGTTGCAACTGGACCATCCAAGCAACAACTGGAAACACTGTGAATTATACATTTTTAGCATTTGAATTGGAATATTACACAAACTGCTCCACTGACTACTTAGAGGTATGTATTCTGAAGCTAAATAATCACTGCATTTTCTGTTCAAGCTAGCAAGCCAAGGTAAGTTACCATGCTTTGCAGAACCAAACCATTCACCATGTCCTATATGTCTGTAATACGCTGACTATACATGGTATTTGAACAGATGTGTTTCATGTCTATTTCATTGCATCATCTTAATAATAAGGGTATTTAATCCATTAAATTATATACACAAGTAACTCTCTGTGTTTTAAGGTTTCAGTGTAACTTCTGGACTGAGTAACCTCATCTTACCTAAATAATGCACAAGTACAAGAACAACTTCTGGTTTTTGTTGGTTATTTTTTGTTTGTTCTTATTTATAAAGAGAGATCAGAAAGTATTTAAATACCTTGACTTTAATACCTAATTAAGCTGATACTGGGAATCATGATTTTGAGTCTTGTGTTTTATTTTTAAACCTGAGTTCATTTCAGTTAATTTTTCTCTTTGTAAAATGGAAGTTTCTATTTGTTATAATAATGACCACAAGTAGCATTTATTGAACTTTCTGTATACAATGCTATGCAATGAAAGTTGCTGGAAAATTAGGTACCTCCAAATAGAAGATAATATGCTACTTTTATGATAAGATATTTTATTTACCAAAGCTTTTTTACTGATTTGAATATGCAACTTTGTGGAGGTATAGATTGAAAAGTTAGGTGGATACTTATCTTACTTTATTAATGTAATTATATAACCATATATAAAATTATATATTTTATAAGCCATTGTATTAATTTAGAATGTTAGTTTCCACTTTTATAAAACAATTTTACTCAGACTGTTTACATATATTTTGACATCTAGTTTTCATCATCAATAAAATCACTTTTGAGTCATTTAACACATCATCTTTATCTCCATCTCCATGCTAGCATATGATACTTCTAATCCCCATATAATGTTTTCACTAGAGATCTTTTCTAAGAGGCCAGTCCCCACTCTGATAACATTAAGACATTTCCTGTATCCCTTCTATCCACAACTTAATAGTTGAGTGTTGTTCTCTTTAAGATGGACAGTGATTTTTGGAAGTCTTGCTTGCAAAGACTTTCATCATCCAGTGTGTGTAACTTTCAGGATATAGTCCCGGGGAGGTTGGGGGTGGGGGGGGTGGTGGGCGGTGGGAATCACAGAAAAAGCCTTTATCTTTGTAAAAGTGTTTTAACCCTCTTTTTAAGCAATTCTTTAAAAAAATAAAAAAGCTAGCATTGATGGAGGTCATTTGAGATTATCATATCTTTTCCAAATAGCACTTTTGTTTTTCAAAGCAAAGAAGAGAAAGCTTCCTATACTTTGAGAGACTGTGAGGTGCTAGATAGTAATATATGGATTCCTTGCCTTTGAAGGATATTTTGGGGGTTAAAAAAATCTTGCTTTGTATTTAGAAAAACTCAGTATTAGAGAATTAATAACCATAGTGTTTACCCATCAGAAAGTTATATTTGCTAGTAGTCAAAGAAAACATGAGACAACATGAAACAAACATTTAAAAAGCACAAACTTGACAGAGATGTTAAAATCCCCTTTCCTTGATCTGTGGGCTTCCCTGGTAGCTCAGCTGGTAAAGAATCTACCTGCAATGCAGGAGACCCTAGTTTAATTCCTGGGTCAGGAAGATTTGCTGGAGAAGGGATAGGCTATCCACTCCAGTATTCTTAGGCTTCCCTGGTGGCTTGGATGGTAAAGAATCCACCTGTGGTATGGGAGACCTGGGTTCAATCCCTGGGTTGGGAAGATCTCCTGGAGAAGGGAGCAGCTACACACTCCAATATTCTTACCTAGAGAATTCCGTGGACAGAGGAGCCTGGCAGGCTACAGTCCATTGGGTTGCAAAGAGTCAGACATGACTCAGTGATTTTCACTTCACTTTACTTTCGTGATCTAGTGCTTAGGTGGTCTTTACAAGCTTGACAATGACATATTTGTCTCATTCCATTTACCTGGAGTGATCACCTTCTTTTCTTCACATGGTGAGATTTTGTTAATTCTTTAGGAAAAAATATAAGTTTCTTTCAAAGTCACTTGTTCATACCACAGACACAGCAGTTTGTCATATCATATTTTTACCATGTGTGATTGTGCCCACATGCCCTACTGGACTGTAAGCTTTTTGAAGGTGAGAACTGTCTCCAGCTAACTTTGTAACCCAGGCCCTGATTATAGAATTGGGGTCTTATGGGAGTTCAGTAAGTTCAGGTTAAATTGAACATCACAGCCATATTTTAGCATCAGCTGGAAGATAAGCTATAAGAAAGAACTGAATTCCAAACTGGCCTTTTTGTGTAATCTTTACACATTCACTACAATTCTACCACTTTAAGCACATATCAAAATAGAATTCATGGGTGTGCATAGTATTGCATGTTTACCAATCTGCTGGGTGCCTTATTTGATAAAAGCACAATGCAGAGAGCGGGGCAAACAGGAAATTTTTGAACTGGACTTAAATTTAAGGACAGCTTTGGCAGAAAGAGTGGGAGCAAATGAGATGAAACCTTTCCAGGGACCAGACTCCACCTCTTTGGACTTACTTGAGGGTGAAATGGTAACAAAAAGGCCCATCGGATAATTTTTGGAGGTGTTAGAAAACTTGTTCCAACAACAGCAGAGCTGCTCCACAGATGATGTTACAGACAGGCCATGTATCTTGTGCAACATTGATGGTGAAAGCCACAAAAATACAGAATGAGAACCAGAAGTTCAGCTAAGCCTTCCAAAGAATGACACTGTTGCCAGAGGGAGGAGATGTTTTCCATTTCTGTAAGCCAAGGGGCAAGACCAAAGCAATTGCTACAATGGCTGGTTTATGATGGAAATTCTAAAAGCACAAATGACCATTAATGGAGAGAAAAGCCACAAACATAGAAACCTAGCTTCCATTATTTTATAACTTCTAGTTCAAGGGTTTTTTCAAGTGACTTAGCCAAGTTCAAAGTGAGTGGCTGTGACTGCAGCCAGAATTGAGTTATTTTCAATTAACAGAACTGAAACTATGCAAGGACTTGATTAGGTGCTGGTCGGACACTGTGCCCAGCCTTGCTGAGACGTGTGGTTTGGTAAAGATCCCACTGGAAAACAAATCCATCCTCTATTCCTTTGTCCTCTGGGTGAAATGAAAGGATTCAGATTTGGAAATAAAATACTTAGTGGGAGGAAGGGTCATTTGCTTAAAGGCGTAAGGCTGTGTTGCCCTTGCAGTTTTAGGAAGTCAATCTTAAGATTCTTTTTGTGTTTTATTACTTGGTTTCACTTTTTCATTTTTATTTTGAGGCTGAGACTGTATCTGGAAGGAGAAAATTTTCAAATCAGTATTGAAAATACAAACAAAAGTAATGGATTTGGGAAAAATCAGCACAGAAATGTACAGGAAATCCAGTGCCTCTGCTGATTCTGGGAGCCTGTGTGTGGGGAGCCAAGGATGGAGGAAAACCAAGAGGTTTTTGTGTTGTGGAAGTTGAGGGAAGGGCCTAGGACAGAAGGTGACAGTGATAAGCAAGGAGGGATGCTCCCAAGGGTCCAGAAAGGTCAGCTCTCATGAGATCCCCTCCTCTTAGGCCCTCTGGTATGTGAGTGTCTCTTCAAATGTGGTCCAGGATTGGATTCAGTTCTCCTACTAACTTGGTGTTGGACCGTATTATCTGGTTTGTGTGTTCTAGTGTTGTAGGCTGAGGTTGAATAGGTTTGTTGTTAGCCATGTTGTGGTGTTAGATGATATTAAACACTTGTGGTCTCCAGGTCATTTTTACATAAAAGGCAATGACTTCATAGCCAAACAGGATATTATTTCTAGTAAGGTATACTGGACTATTTTGCCTCAGAATTTCATCTCATGATGATTCCTCTAAATCCTCTGGTCTTTAGAGCATTATTTATTTGCATGTAGACTCATTGGCCTGTGACTTCTTAAAAAATATTTGATAAAATATCAGAAAGATGCTTCCTGTTTCAAGTATTCTAAAATGGTAGCTTTCTTGGGTTAAAATGCTTCTGTTATTGAACACTTTTGGGAAAGCACCATTCAAACAACTTGGTAATAATAACAGCTTATATTTGTCAAACACATTACTGACTAGATAATTCTTGCAGCAACAGTGTGATGTAGGAAATATCGTTATCTCATTTGACAGGTGAGGAAACTGAGACAAAGGCAGGTTGTCCACAGTCACACAGATTATATTACCAGAACCAGGCTTTCCACCAGGCACTGTGGCTCCAGGCCAATGCCCCAAGCCACAATACCACACACACTCCACGTGTGTTCTGTTTCAGAATTATCACTCTCAGAGGTGACACGAGGGAGTTTCCATGGAACTCCCAAGTTGACAACTTCAGTGACCGTGTCACCAAGAGAAATTTATGCTACTTAGCATGACCGTTGCATAGGGAAGCAGTGATCATTTATTATATCTTTGCTTCATACTGACAACTTATGTTCAGGGACCAATGTAGAATCTTCCCCCAAATTAGCATCTATCTTACTCATCTGTGAGATTCCAAAAGAAATCTTTCCCACATTTTGGAAGTTACATTTTCCCTTCAGACCTCTGTCATCCTCCTATGTTCCCTCTTCTGCCTCATACTCTTGGTTGTAGATGCACACTCAAACTGACCCATGGGGAAAAGACTAGTGTTTGTGAATGGCTCTTACCCTCGGAAAGTGAAAAAGAAGCCTCATGACACACAGGATCAACTGAAAAGCTGGGAGAGGACAGGGACCAAGAAGGCTCAGAAGAGTGACTCTTCTGACTTCCTTGTTTCTTGCTGTGAACATAGACTCTGGTCTCATTTTTCATCTCAAAAGCTTCCTCTGAGTTTCTGCAATTTCACAGATTTAACTTAAATAAGGGCACCCCAGCCACAACACTGCAAAATCAGGTGGACCTCGGGTGCTTACAAACAACTAGAATTTCCCCTGCTGACAGGTTACATCTGTCGCCAGTGCTCATCTCTTTGAGTCTGGCAACAAGGTGTGG